TCACCCACGGAGTGGTCACGCTCAGCTGCTCGACTATGTCATCGTACGTCAGCGTGATATGCGTGAAGTGCGCATGGCACGTGTACTGCGTGGAGCTGAGTGTGGCACTGATCACAAGTTGTTGCGGACCAAACTGTACATATATTTTCGTAAATCTGTGTATTGCACTCCCGCGGTGAATCGGCGTAAATTTAACATTCTCTCCCTCGGTACTGTGGCGAAACATACTGAGTCGGAGAAGGCGATGGCTGCACGCCTGTGTGATTTGGAATGCAAAGCCTCAGTGGGCGACCTGTGGCACCACATTCGCGACCAGGTGACAGCTGTTGCCGAGGAGACCATTGGGCGCGCAGACTGTAAGCGGCCTGATTGGTTTGATGACAACAATGCAACGATTGGCGCATTGGTGTCAGAGAAGAATGCAGCATTTGCTGCACATGTGGCAGACCCCAGTGACTTGGGGAAGAGTAGTGCAAACTTCGACGTCGACTGACCCGAGAGCTCCGTCGCATTAAAAATGCATGGTGGACGGAGAAGGCGAAGCAGATGGAATGCTCCGCCGAACGCCGCCAACACAAGGAATTCTTTGACTCCTTGAAGGCGGTGTATGGACCGAGATGGGAGCCGCTTTGGACGCTGATCGATGGTAGTTCAGGCGCTACCTGCACCCAGACTGCAGACATGATGCAGATCTGGCGGAAACACTTTGACTGTCTCTTGGACAACCGTTCAGAGATCGACTGGCCTACATTGAACGGCCTGAAGCAGCACGGTGTGAAGGCGGATCTGGTGGATACGCTGACACTGGATGAGACGCAGAGAGCACTTGCTCAGCTGCGAAACGGCAAATGTGCCGGAGGTGACGGGATCCCACCTGAAGTATTGAAACACGGTGGTCCCGCGTTGTTGACTGCGCTGCACCACTTGGTGCAACGTGTATGGATTGAGGAGGAGGTGCCTGCTGAGCTGAAGGATGCCCTTGTGCTACCACTATACAAGGGCAAAGGTAGCAAGCAATGTTGCACGAATTGTCGTGGCATCAACTTGCTGAGTTGTGTGGGCAAGGTGATTGCCCGAATCCTGCTCAATCGCCTCGTGGGTCAGGGTGTGGAACCTAACGTGGCGGAAGAGCAATGTGGATTCCGTTCGTGTCGAGGCACTATAGATATGGTGTTTGCGGCTCGTCAGTTGCAGGAGAAGTGCAGAGAACGACACCAGCCATTGTACTCACTTTTTGTTGAATTCACCAAGGCATTTGATGCGCTGAACCGCGAGGCATTGTGGCTGGTGTTGGGTAAGTTTGGTTGCCCGCGTAAGTTTGTAATTTTAATTGAATGTCTGCACAGTGGTATGCGAGCGAGGGTGCAGCTGAGTGGAGAGACCTCGGATGATTTTGCGGTCGTCTCTGGTGTGAAGCAAGGCTGTGTCTTAGCTCCAGCCCTGTTTAATATATATCTTCATGCTATGTTGTCTTGTGCTTTTGATGCGGCTTCTGCTTACGGTGTGCGTGTGGAGCACCGTATTGATGGTGGGTTGCTGAACATCCGTCGTTTCGGTTCGAGAACTCTAGTCTGTGAGACAACTATCCCTACTTTGTTGTTTGCTGACGACTGTGCGTTGTTTTCACACAGCGCGGATGAGTTGCAGCACATGACTAGTGCTCTGGCTTCGACAGCGGCAAAATTCGGGCTCATCATCAACACGAACAAAACTGTCTGTCTCTTTCAGCCTTCACCGGAGGTGCAATCTTCGCTATTGCCGCGAATGAGCATTGGTGCTGAAGTATTGGAAACCACCTTCCGCTTCTGCTACCTTGGGAGTGTGATATCGACTGATCAATAGCTACGCGTTGAGTTGCGTAGTCGCGTGCCGAAGGCAGCCTCGGCATTCGGAAAGCTAGAATACCGAGTGTGGACCAACCATCAGCTTACTATTGGCACGAAGCTGATGGTGTACAAATCCATGGTACTGTCCGTTCTTCTATACGGCAGTGAAACGTGGACGATGTACCGTCGGGATGTGCGATATCTCGAGCGGTTCCATCAGCAGTGTCTGCGACGAATTTTGCGGATCGGTTGGGACGCCAGAGTTGCAGACACGGAAGTGTTGCGCCGAAGTGGGATGTATGCAGTGGACTGCATACTTTTACTGAGACACCTGAGATGGCTCTGTCATGTGAGCCGTATGGATTTGACGCGGATACCGAAACAACTTTTATACGGTCAGCTGAGTATAGGGAAGCGATATGCTGGGAAACCAAAGTTACGTTACCAGGACATGATTAAAGTGAGCCTCACACGTTCTAATCTTGATTGCAGATCATGGGAATCGAAGGCGGTTGATCGTGGTTCATTGCGCCATCTAATCACGATGGCAGTTGCTGAAGTGCGGGAGAAAGTTCTCATGCATGCAGAGAAGAAGCGGCAATTGCGGAAGCGGCAAGCACCGTTGGGTTGTACTCCATCGACATCGAGCGCATGGTGCTGTAGAACATGCGGGCAGGCAGGCCTGGTGAGCCATGAGATAGGTCACTCGGGACCACTGCCGAAGCGCCGACGGGTCCAGCAGTGAACGTAGGCAGCACCGGCGCAGCGTTTGTAGGCACGCTGAATTCGATTTACTAACCGCATGCTTGCATGCTAAGTCTCTTTATTTCAGGTGGTGGGTTTGCGATTCTCTCCTAATGCCTTTCTTTCTCATATAAATGTCTTGTGGGCCATGAGCTAGGTCCTTTGGAGCCCCTACGGATGTGACGACGGGTCCTGCAGAGAATTACGGCGAGCCGGCGCAGCGTTTGTAGGCACGCTGAATTCGACTTATTAACCGCGTGCTTGCATGCTAAGTCTCTTTATTTCAGGTGGTGGGTTTACAGTTTGTGCCCTTATGCTTTTCTTTCTCATATAAATGTTTACCAGTACTCTATTCCATTAACTTGCACACCTCGCCTAAGCCAGTTGTATTCGATTTCCGTAGCATATTTGTGTTCGTGGCATTCCGTGAACTATATTTCCTGACCTCGTGCACTTAGCTAGGATTTGTTTGTAAACAACTTATTACATATGCTATTTACTTAAGGTTTATATCACCGTTTCCTTATGCATTAATCGAGTTTTTCTCTTTTTGTTTCTCTCTCTCTCTCAAGTGTTTAGCTGTTGTTTGATATCCTTGATGTGGTTGCGCTTGATGTGCATGTTGACAAGGTGCCTACCTGTCTATTACCCACTACCTCGTCCATACTGGATCCAGGAGAGTTGGTCGTTGCTGGAGGGGACGGGGTGCACGGTCCTTGTGGCCGTGTTAGGATCAAAGAGTGGTTCCATGCAGTCAGCTTGGAGCGGACTACGGTCCAGCCACCGCCTTGTGTGCGCTTGATTTCCTCTAATACAGTGTGCTTGTGTTTGCCTGTGAAGGAGTGTGGGCCGGCTCCGTTGATGAAACGTGGTTCCCATCCGCATGCCTCCCGGTCTTATTCCTTCGGGTTTACACTGGATATGGGGTGTGTGGTTGGAGCTGTGGGTGGTGCAGCGCAAGCCATCCATGGTCCCTCTGTAGGCGCAGGCGTCCTGTGGCTTGCCACAGTGCCAGGCAAATGCGAACCCGGATGCCGCCAACCATATATATATATATATATATATATATATATATATATATATATATATATATATATATATATATATATATATATATATATATATATATATATATATATATATATTAAAGCATGCGGTTATACTGGCAGGATTATTCTTTAAGTTAGCATATGAAGTACGTTGGTTATCAACGAATACGCGAGAAGTACAAGTTGCCCATATGCCAGTCATAGGTGCCACGTCCGCAATAAGGTTAACAATGATAAGCTCAGTTAGCGGGCGCCACGTTGACAAGGTAATAGAAGATAATTGACATAGGCAGAACAAACCAAGTATTGTGTGAGGAATCTTTTCTTGCTTTGAAAAGATGTAGTTGAAGTGTAAGTTGCTTTAGGCCAACTTCGGTGTAGTGCATCAGGAATTGCAATACAGCTGTCTCCTGATGGAGTGTAATAGAAATTTTTTCTATTTACTTAGCTCGGTAGCAAATAGCCATTTTCGGCCACTCACAGTTCGATTGGCTCAACTTTAGAATTCAACTACATGATCATTGGAGCAACTGGGCGGCTACTTTTCTCCGATCACTCGTGCCTACAAACTACTGCTCGTATTTGATTAACCATTGCCGGCGTACACGATCCGCTGCTCAGTCACACTCCGTTTAATTTTATTGATGAGGCTGGGTTCCATGGGTTTACTGAACTGGTCGGGGTCTTGGTGCTTGTTTGGCTTGTTTTCATGAGTGTTCCGGCCTGTGAATATCGCGTCTATTTTAGCAAACTCTCATCGCGTGCAGGCCACTAGATTACCATGGGCACGAGGAATCCGGTTTGATATCCTCTCTGCTTTGTTACTACATAGTTGTGTACCTCAGAAGTTATCCCCACCAGTAAACATTATACCGTTGAAGATCTCATCACCTTTTTCTGTCCAGCCTCTTCTGACTGTTGGTGCTTCGGTTCTGTACTGTTATTTACTGTCTAGCTTTGTTGTCCCGCCTGTGTCTGCTTTACTCGACTCTGAGTAGTTACTGACTCGCTATCGCACTTTATTGTACGTCGACTTCAGTGGTTCCGTCTAATGGGGCTGTTTGCTCATCCCTACCACCTTTTAACGAACATGCCTTCTTCTAGTAAGTTGGTCGTATTCGGTCTCATGTGAATGGTTTATTGCTTCCTTTCCTAGATGTTACATTAGCCGCCTTCGTTTTTCCCTTTTGGTGAAGGTTGTGCCCCCACATTTCTTCAATACCTTCTATCTAGTGCTGTTTTACTTTTATGTGCATTGTTTGTATCCGGATACGCATGTTTGTGGTTTTTATGATGACTCAGCCATTAGAATTTGACTTTTAAACGTCAACTAACTGATTCACTTGTTATCGTTTTCTCTGTCGTTACAACTTTTCTGCAGCAAATTCAAGAGAATGAGCAGGAAGTTCTGGAATTTTTGAATGCCCCTATCAATCCAGAGGCTGGCGAAGGGGAAGGGATCGAAGCTTCCGATACTCCTGTTACAGGTCCTCCACGATCTCGCGAGCGTCCATCAATCATTTTAACGATGACTCCCGAGGAACAAGCTGCTATCAACCGCCTCAAAGCCCTGGGGTTCCCCGAAGAGTTAGTAGTTCAGGTAGGCCTTGGGAATCACACTAATTTTATGGACCACTTGTTCTCCACTCCCACTTCTGAGAACATTCGTTGCAACTAGACTCCATACTACAGTCCAGCTTGTTATAACGACCAGCGATTGACATCCCCAACGTTTTCTTTTATGAGTAATGTTCCTATGCATGAACTTGCCCATGACGACCACGTTTTGTGGTTCTCTTGTGTGGTCGCCTTAGACAAGTTTGAATGCTAAATACTGGTTCGAAGCAGCGAGTAGAGCTTTCTCTATGTAGCTGCATCATTCGTCGCTCTTGGACATTTACGCCTTATTTATCGTTTCGCTCCTTATATTTTGCCTCTACATAGTGTTTGTCTAGAAGCTCCTTAAATTCGGACACTGAGTTGGCCTCTACGATGTGCTGCGGCAGGTCGTTCCAGACATTCACCACTCTGCGTTCGAAACAGATTTGGTGAGCTACCCGCTTCAACTTCAATACAATAAGTTTGTACCGGTGTCCTCGCGTGCCGCTTGGTGTGCGCAGTTGAAGTAGTTGTCTCAACATGGGGTAATCACTAAGATGTAATATCCGGTGCGTCATGATGAGGTCAACCCTCAGCCGACGATATGCTAGGGTGTACAGCCCTAGTTTCTTACATCGGTCTTCATACGGCATACCTCGTAAGTTGGGAATCAGCCTAGTGGCTACATGCTGCACCCGCTCAAGCTTTTTTTTACCTCGCCCAGCGTGATGGGACAATACGCGGGAGATCCGTATTCTGGCATTGGTCGTATTATCGAGACGAAGAGGCGAGTAACAATCTCTTCGGACCAATTGCTGAAGCTGCGCCTGAGGGCCCAAAGCATCCGAAGGCTGTTTTGGTGCAGCCTCTTCGTGTTGTCAATGGACTTTAGGTCGCAGCGTGAGAGCACCGCGGGATGCAACGGTTGACCAGTCACTGTGTACGTTCGGCTGTGCTCACACTTACTCAACCTCATAAATTGCGACTTGGCAGGGTTGGTCGGAAGGTTAACCTCTGCAGACCATGTCGAGAGGCGGTCGAGGTCTTGCTGAAGTAAATCACAATCATTGAGTGTGCGGATTACTCTCCACACCTTCAAGTCATCTGCGAACAAAGCACAATGTGATTGTAGTAGCTGAGGCACATCGTTTACATGGATCAGAAACAATATCGGCCCCAGTACAGTGCCTTGGGGCACGCCGCTGCTCGATGGATACCAGTCAGTTAGATGGTTGTCAACCTGGACCCTCCACTTTCGATCAACAAGGAAATTTCTGATCCATTTGTGCAGCGAACCACCAACACCGTACATCCTCAGCCTGTCAAGGAGCACTGCATGGTTAACCTTGTCAAAAGCCTTGCTGAAGTCAATGTAAATGACATCGTCTGAATGGCCTTGGTTCATCGCTTGTAACCATTCGTGCCTCGTCAACATTAGGTTGGTGATGCACGAACGACCTTTCATGAAACCATGCTGTGCGGAGGTCAACAGTTTTTTCGACTCGAGAAGCTGCAGAAGGTTCTTCTTCACGATCTTCTCGAGCGTCTTTGCCAAAACAGCGGTCAGGCAGATCGGCCGGTAGTTATCCACTTTACTTGGGTTACCACCTTTCGGTATGGGCTTTATGACTGAGCATTTCCAGTCGTCTGGTAACAGTCCAGTGGATAGTGACCTGTTAAACAGTACAGTTACAGAAGGCGCGATGATAGCCGATATGGACTTGAGGATCAGTGGGTGTATACCATCTGGCCCAGCAGGCTTCGTCCCGTCAAGATTTGCTAGAAGCTTGCGTACATCCTCAATATTGCAGTCCAGGCTGTTAAGTTCGGCTGGAGCGGTACTCGTCGAACTCGTTACAGATACCTGGTCACTTCCGCTTCTCTCGGAGCTTATTCCGGTACAAATTTCTACCGAAACTATCACTGTACCAGAACTTCAACTGTTCACAGTTCCCCCATGACCTATCTTATTCGGAGTCCGTCGGTTTTTTACTTCGGCCCACTGGTTGTGGGATTACTTTTCTTCATGCTCTCAACCACAGTGTTTGTTATAGTCGTGGATAATGGCCTTATACTTAATTCTGTCGTTTTATCACTGACACCTGGTAAACGTCGAGTTTCCTCGTTTACGCTCGTTCTTGTTACATTCACCACGATAAGTTGGCAAGCGTTTGTGCTCCGTCATTAGCATCGAGATTGCTAGTTTGCGGCTTAATTAGGCGCATGTTTTCTAGTGTCGTAGTTGTTCTTACACCATTGTTTTATTTTGGCTCCTTCGCTAATGACCCATTTCCACCACTGATGTTCCTTGTTTGATAAATTTGTGATACTCTCTTGGCTCACGAAAATGAGCTACCAAATAACTGATACTGCCTTCTAGCTATCATAAAGTACTATCACATGTTACGTATTCTATTCATAGTATTATCGCCACAACACTCATCCGTTCGGATCGTTGTGGATTGGTTAAATCTCTCTTTGCTTTTTATCCGACACTCGCAAACTATGAAACGGGCTTGGCTTTCAATTAGTTTGCGATCCTGTCAAATCGCATCCATTTGCAATCCTCAATTGAAACCTCGTCAGCTACGCCACGATGTCGCGCACTGTAATCGGTGCTACTTTGTGAGAACTCTCAATAAAGATAGTGGACTAGGGTACTATTTGGAGATATAAAAGTGAACGTATTGTCAAGTCATGTTTTCCATGCCTTTAATACCCGTCAAGTGTTGGAGCACCGCCATGTTTATTGGCGACCCACCGTTGTCGTGTTTCTTGACATAAAAGGTGCCTTCGACTCAGTCGATCGATGTGCCCTTTGGGACTGTCTGTTGAGGAAAGGTGCGCCTGATAAATATGTAAACATTATCAAAGCGCTGTACGCACATAGTTCGGGCAGGGTGAGGGTTTATGGCAAACTCTCGCCACCCTTCAGTATCACCAGCGGTGTGAGACAAGGATGCCCGCTGTCACCTTTCCTCTTCAACTTCGCTATTGATGAAGTCATGGAAACAGCGTTCGCTGGACACGACCTGTAAGGTGTGGAGCTACTCCCTGGTGCGCGACTTCTTGACTTGGAGTATGCGGACGATATTGCCCTAATCGGTGACAGCTCCCAAACATGCCAAACAGCACTGGACCGATTAGCACTGGCTGTCAGTCGTTTTGGGCTATGCTTTGCTCCATCAAAATGCAAAGTACTACTCCAAGATTGGCAGGGACCCAACCCTGCGCTAACGCTTGGTGGTGATCTGCTAGAAGTCGTTCAGGAATTCAAGTACCTGGGCAGCTATATTAGCACCCGTGGGATTGAAGATGAGGTTACGAACCGCATAGCAAAAGCTCGAGGTGCTTTTGCCAATCTCCGCCACCTGTGGCGCAGACGCGGCATTACTCTCGCCCTCAAGGGCAGAGTTTACAATGCAGCCGTCCGTCAACTCTCCTATATGGCTGTGAAACCTGGCCCATCAGGTCGACAGACATGAAGAGACTCGTCACGTTCGATCATCGCTGCCTTCGCAGCTTAGCTCATGTTTGGTGGGAACACCGCGTGAGCAATGAATGTGTTCGGCGTCGCGTATTTGGTGCAGGAAGAGCGAGTGAACCGCTCAGCACCATTATATCACGCACCAGGCTCCGATGGCTGGGCCACGTGTTGCGCATGCCAGCACACCGACTCCCACGACGTGCATTGTTTGCGCGTTGTGGGTGCGGTTGGAAGAGGAGGAGGGGAGGCCAAGTGATGACTTGGTCGCGAGAAATGAAAACCCTCACTTCGAAGTTGGCGTCGGTTGGTGCATCCCGACTGCCTGGTTGGGGTCCTAAGGACGGTGAACACGTTTGGCTGGACACACTTGCTGATATGGCTCGGAGCCGGCCCCAATGGCGTTTGTGTTGTGATTTCTTTTGTCCATCCCCCTCCTGTTTAGCATCCCCCTCCAATCACGATCTCAAACGTTAGGCATAATATGACTTTCTTTTACGGAAACCAGCTGTTAGCTCTCCGGAACGATGTCCATCCGTTACTGGGGACTCAGCGGGCGTGCCACTGTTTGTTTGTTTTCTTCTTCTTTTCTTGCCTTTTGTATTGCGGCACAATAGCTGAGGTGTTTTCCACCTCCAGCTAACGTGTAATGATGATGATGATTTCAAGACACTGCCCATTATATTGTTAGAATCCGGCGTGCAAACTGCATTATTTATTGTGTCAAACATAGCTAATACTAGGTGCATCCGTTCCGACAAACGAGACATCCACACATCGCCATCCCTTTCAGAGGTTGCATGGCGCGGCTTTCCCTCTGAGTCTAGGGGTTGTGTTATATTCATTGCTTGTGCGCCCATTCCTCATGCGCTTACAACTGCGGTTCCAATGTGTTCTTTTCCTTTGAGGGAGCCATTACGGCTTACTGTTAGCTGGTTCCTTTTCGCATCCTGGCCTTTTTACGTTACTGATAACTTGTGCAGTAGTGTCTGCCTTTAGTCCACCACAATATGATTGCAAAGTAGCGTCTTGCGGAGGGCTGCTCTTATGCTTTAGTTTCTACGATTTATGGCCCCTCGTAAACCCCACGCATTGCTCAGACACTAAGCGGGAAACAAACTCGGATTACTTGGTTTGCTGTAGTCCCAAAATTGAACTCTAGCATGGCACGGTAGTCTGTACATTTCTCAGTTCCTTGAGCACTTTAATAGCCTGTCATCTCAGATTGGATAGTGGTTGGCGGTCGATCAAAGACGGTGTCCTTATCTCTCAGGTTGGTGGTCGAAACAGAGATGACCCTCATTTTACAAGTTGATTCATTGTGTGAGCCGTCACCACATCTCGATGACCTCTTAGTCGGCGTTGATAAATAAAAAAAACTTTTTATTATATTACTCGTGAGTAGCGGGATTTTGCTTGTAATTTTGTTGAGGTTTTCATCTCAGTACCTCACAAGCCAGATAGCACAGCCGTCCGGAAAAGCGCCAGACACGTTTCGCCCTATTGGGACTCGTCAG